CTACTTTTTTCTTTTCAAGCCCTTTGTTTTGTTTTCTTTATTTTATTTGAATTATTTCCGGCCCTTTCTCTCCCTAACCTTCCTGCATGCTGCATGTTCTCTCAGTCTTCCAGAAAACCTGTTTCCTAGATTTCCTACTTTTTAACTAATCAGCCAAAGGGATCTACCGAACGCAAAAAAAGCTTAATATGCGCTGCGCTCCAGCAGCAATGAGTTGAAATCACCGGGCGAGGGCACAGATTACGAACTCAGCTGAGGCAAAGCACGTCAGAAAAGCACAGAAAGTACAGAGAATATGAACGATCGCAAGTGAATGACTTTGTTTTGGTGGAGCAATTTTGTGAATATAACAGCGGCCGCACGCAGGACGCAGCTGGAGTATTTGAGCCGTTACCGCTGCGTCCTCTCTGCTCATAGAATGCCCGCAAAACGGAGTTCATAAATGACGTCATACAGTGAAAAAAGAAAATCGTTTAATCAACCTAATTGAATTGCTTCAATTGGTAACAAGCAATTTAATTAAGTTTATCCAACCTAAATTATTGAAATTGTACTAATAATTTAAGTTGGATAAACTTAATTAAATTGCTTGTTACCAATTGAGGCAATTTTTTAAGTTGGATCAACTTTTTCTTTTTACAGTGTATATGTAGATACCGGATCTTTATTTTGAGCTTTCCGCAATTTTAATTTTTAAGAAACCCACATCTTGATTCTGGGTTTAAAAATGCGTTGTAATTACCGCGTTACTGACAATTGTACCGAGTAAATATTACCATTTTCTTTCCCTGTAATGCCTTACATTACCACATTACAGGAAAAAGCAATGCATTATAGTAATTAATTACTTTTGTACCGCGTTACTCCCAACACTGAATCTGGGGCCTGATTTGCTGCTTCAGACCACTTGCTGTAACTGATGGAAACATTAACTCTGCTCTGACCCGTGACCTTGAAATGACAAAAGCCCTATAATGGGTCAAAACACCTGATTGTAGTTGGTGTCACAATCAGTTATTAGTTTAGGGATCTGCTACTTTTGGGTTGGAGAGCTGTGCTGCCCCAACTGATAAAATCAAAATGTGAAAAAATGAAGTGATTTAGGAACATACTTTAAAATAGTAAGAAGATCCTTTTACGGCATCTTTATTAATTGGGTTGTTTATCTGACCTGGAGTGGAAAACCTTTCCAGATGATGGTATTATAGTTGAGTTATGAGAGTTACTCATTTTCAGCAGGATCTCTTATATTTCATCCAAACACTAAACACATCACAAACAGCTTTTGTAGCAGATTGGAGTGATTTAAGAGCTTGGAAACCTGCACTCTAAACCAGGATTTTAGCATATAATTACTGTTTGTTGGATTTTCCACATTCCTGGACTGAGTGACTGGAAGTTTTCCTCCTATCTCTCTGGGACGTTCCTCCTCGGAGGCTCAACTCTCACATTCATTCTCTAATCGCACAGAGGCGTATGACCCTCAGGATGAGAATAAAAGAAGAAGAAATTACTTTCATTAAGAAATTCAGATTTCCCCCATCCTTTTGATCTAGTGCCAGAAGAACATTTATGCTGATGAAATGCATAAATAAAGTTCCTAAATTATCCCATTCCTCTCTTAGTGCGCGTATCGAAGCTGGAGAAGTTCCAGACAAGACAACTACAATCACAGTGAGTGCCCCTGAAGAGAGGTGATTTAGGAGATGGCCTGCTTCTGGTGTAAAGCTCAGGGTCAAGACTTTCCTGGCAAAGTGCATCTTAAGCCTTTTACTGAAAGATCTGCAGAAGAAAACTGTACAAATGTGTTGGATTGGCTCTCAGAGGAATCAACATCAACCAATTACCATCCTTTAAATGTCTAATACATGAATTGGCTGAATATAGAGGGATATTTTTATGCTACCCTGGTAACAATCTATCATCCCCACATGGCTAATCTAATTTACTTGGGACCAAACCTTAGCCAATGCATCTTTTCTGTAGTATCCTGCCGCAATCACACTCATGTATCCGGTGTGTCCCCGATAGTGTATTTACTAATGTGTTTATATATTTCAGAAACTTTGTAACATGGACAAATTCGTCCTTCATTCTCATCTACATCTTCATGCGGTCGCCATCCTTAAACCCACATTTCCCCTCGTTTCCATCCACGTTTGCTCCGTATTTTGTGCTCCTTCACTCACGAGTGAATAAATGTTCATATTTTCAGACTTTTTCCGCGATCCGTTCTTCAGTCTGTTCTGGGTCTGCTGCTTAATGTCTGTTTACTTTCTAACGAAGCTACAGCGGTGATGGTGACGAATATACAGGAAGTGGCGCCCTGACCAATCACAAGCTTGCGTTCTCCATCACGTTCGACGGATGTTTAAAATTTTGAGCATGTCTCTGTCACCCTCTGTGAGCCTGTCTTGAGCCGACGGAGAAATCAGGCTTTAGGGTTCTACAACACCCCAAGGTGTTCACAACACAATCAGTCATTCACCCATTCACACGCTGGTGGGGATGAGCTACGATGTAGCCACAGCTGCCCTAGGGCGCACTGACAGAGGCGAGGACTGCCGAACACAGATGCCATTAGTCCCTTCGACCATCACCGGTAGGCAAGGTTTATGTTTATTTATTTAGCAGACGCTTTTATCCAAAGCGACTTACAGTTTATAACCTGTAGGACATGTTGTGATCTGTGGGGGAAACCGGAGTACCCGGAGGAAACCCACACATGCATGGGGAGAACACGCAACTCCACGCAGAAAGGCCTCAGCCGAGTTTCGAGCCTGCAACCTTCGTGCTGTGAGGCAACAGTGCTAACCACTGCGCCACTATGCAGCAAGGTGGGTTAAGTGTCTTGCCCAAGGACACAAGAGCAGCATTCTCTGGTGGGAGTCGGGATCGAGCCTGCAACCTTTTGATTTCTAGACAACCTGCTCTACCTCCTGAGCTACTGCTGTCCCAACATCGGGTAACGACAAACACAAGTGACCAAACTGGGTTTCCTCCACATGGCGGTCACAGCTAAACATTTGGTAATGCACCAAATATTCTCCAAAATTCTCAGAAATTTTGACCAAATACAAAACAGACAAAAAAAACTTCCCTCTGAAATGTCAGATACCATGAAAACAAGTGGGTGTTTACAGCTAATAGCCCAGATTCTCTGTGTTTACAGCAGCATCCCAGCACCAAGAGGTTGGTTTCTCCAGCTCCAGCTGCTGGACCTGATGATGACGCTGAACCACATGCTAGTGAAACTAAAGGGGGGAAACACTTCCACTAAATGACTTCCTTCTGGCCTTACAAGATGACGTCTTTCCTGACATTGTTGTGAGAGGAATTCCTTTTCAAGAGTGCTGTGAAAAACAGGCAAGAAAACAAGAAATGGTGAAATTAGAAATAACCAAGATTTTCTTAGAAAGCCACATGTGTGTGACGGGGAAAGTACGCTGGCTCTCTTCTCTCAATCTTTGTGTCTCCACACACAAACTGGCACATCCAGGACTTTCCAAATACAACACATCGCAAATGTTTTGGCAGTGAAAAAGTGTTATAGCCTGGCAAGCCATCCTATATGTGTATGAATTACAGTCTAGCCATGGTCCATTAACGGCTCTCAGTCGTGGGGCGGGATCTACCATTGTCTTTCAAACTGTCCCCACATGCTATTGGATAACAAACAACGTGACACCACAACAGATGTCAGTCAGCAAGGCAGTCCGCCATACTCTGTCAAAGAAGATGCAAATAAATACTTCATAAACTTAAGTATCTCTATCTGCTCTAGACTCAAAGAAAAGCCCAAATCAAAATAGTCCAAAGTTGATGCCGAAGCTGTTTCAAACGAGCCTTTAACATCTTTGTTTTTTCAGTGACATTCTGCCTACTGAGTGCTGTGATTGGCCCACCAAAACAATAGAGTGGTGTGATTGGACCGCTACAAAGCTGTGGCCATCTTGGTTTTCAGCAACATCCTGCCCACCTGGCTGATAGAGCACTGTGATTAGATTGCCATGGATGCCAGTCAGCAAGGCAGTTCACCATTACTACATAAAACATAAAATAACATAAAAAATACATCGTTTTTCTACATAAATGCGTTGCGATTGGTCGGCAACAATCCTGGCCGGGCTTGCGAAGGTTCCGATGGAGAGTGCCTAGACCGAAATGCAAAGCAAAAATATTTAGCTTGGGAAAATGACGGTCTAGATTCTACGCTAAAAGAATTACTGATCAGCACCAAACAGCACCCACAGCCAAAGAAATTAATTACACCGAGGACATTGTGTTCTGTCAAGTTCGCCGTACTTTACAACTTTTCATGGGACGTGTAAAGAGAGCAACTGCGTGACATAAAAGTGGTGTTCAATGACCAGAAGAATCACCATTTTGTAAAAAAGCTGCACTGTGGGGGGATTTCTGTTGCATGTTTTTGTGTTGGTAGTTCAGAATTGGATATTTCAAAGCAGCGACAATGCTGCTCCTTTTCTTTTTATTTCCATTCAGCTTCACCAACAACTCTTCCATTAAAACTCAAAGACTCCTGAACTTATATAAAAACAATGGTCTTAATGCTGGGCCTTGCAGTGAAACTTCAATAGATTACATGGTTGTAAAATTGTGATGAAACAGGTGTTGAACTTAAAGTTTACCAATGAACTGATGATTACTAAAACAATAATAATATGTTGGGAAAACCCCGTTATGCTGCTAGTTCTACTGTTAGTAAATATTTGCAATATGCATGAATATTGTTGGAAGACGTTTAGGAAAATGCTGTGATCACAACTAGAAGCTGTCCAACATCGTCTAACACAAGAACACAAATGAAGAATAAAGGAGGTTTTAGGCAGTGGTCTAGGAAAGTGCTGTGAAAATCCACCAAACAGCATGCAGTGGTTGTGTTTAATTGTAGAAAGGCAACTTGAGCATGTTAGAAGTTTTCTTAAAAAAAGAAAAAAACGGATATGAGCAGCGAGTCTCAGAGAGACTCACTTACTTACGATGTAACAAGGCTCGCAGTACGCCTTTTTTTCCATTGCATAGAAGGGCTTGCCACGTAGCTTGGTGCTGCAGGTCATGCAGACAAAGCAGTCGACGTGGAAGACCTGGTCCATGGCGGTGCAGCCGGTACCTTCACCCACCACGTTCTCACCACAGCTGGAGCAGCGTCCTGAATGGTAGAAGACAGGAATTGGAATACAGATTTGATCTAAAGCCTCAAAATGATACTATTATAACTGAGAACAACAACAACAACAACAATAATAATAATAATAATAATATATATATATATATATATATATATATATATATATATATATATATATATATATATATATAATATTATTATTATTATTATTATTATATTATATAATAAAAAATAATGATTGGCTTTTGCTACTGGCTGTCCGTTTACTGCAAACATTGATGATAGAAATTAATTCCACAAAACATTACGTAAAAATGTAAGATTTCTTCATCCTTGAAGCGCCTCGTGATTTTTATCTTGAGAGGCGCTATAGAAATGACACTTTCTTCTTCCTTTATTTCTCCTAAATTGTATTAAATGATGTTGAGCTTCACCAGAACTTTTTTTATTTTAAAAATGGATGAATGAAATAAATAAATGAAAATTTCTGTAGTTGTTGCCAGTTTTAAAAAGTGTGCAGAAACAAAAGTCTTAAATAGTTGTGTCTTTTGAATAATTGTATGGCAGTTTGGCCCCAGTGGGATTAACCTTTAGCTCATTTGTATGGGCAGATATAATCTAGGTTGTTCAAGAACTCATCTCCAACAGGTAAAATCTGATCAACCTTTTTAAGCTCATCAAAATCAGCATCTCAAAGTCAAAAAACATTTGTCCGTGAACAGGAGTCGAGTTTCCATCAGCAGAAACACTAACAACAAATCAGCTGGTCTTTCACATTTCTGTGTTCACAGATTAAGGTAAAGTGTTTGACCTGATGAGGAAAAGAACAAATGCAATAAAAGGTCTAGCCAACTGAGGATCGACATGTCTGAAACTCCAAAATCTTATCGTTTTTGATCTGTGAATGTCTCACTGGTGAGCAGCAACAACAAAACCGTATACCGGTACTTTTTCTGGTCCACAAACACACCAGCTAAGAGCTCGATTGCTCTAGCATCATTAAGACCTTTAATGCAACATTTGTTTTATTTCTAATCCAAATTTTAGGGTATTCATTCGTATAAAAACAATTTTCATTTTCATTCTGAAGCCGGTGAAAATATCAGCAGGCCATCGGTGTGGGCCATAAAAGGTCATATCATTTTAGTTAAAGACCGTAGAAACAGGTCAAATAAGCTGTCTTATTATAAAAATTACATTTATTTATAGCCTACTTTTTAGGCCACCTTACAATAAAGACAAGGTGTAAATTATATTATTGAAGCATAAATAAAAATACTTGGATAAAATACAGATAAAGATTTTTGTTTCTAAATGATCTGAAGAGCTGATGAGAGCAAGTGATGTGGTTAACAGCATGAATGTCTTGTTTTGTTTCGTTTAAAGTGTCTAAAACTTCTGCTCCTAAATTATAATGCTTGACGAGACAAAATCTACGGATCAGCTCTTCTCACCTCACACCTAAAACTTGGCACCATCCCTTTAAATGTCAGCAGGGCCTCGTCGGCATTTCCATTTGAACCCGCTGGATAAGAGAGGATTAAATACTATAATCACGCTACATTAAAGAAACTACACACATCACTAGAGTGACATCTGTTCAAAAAGTCAGGCTTTAAACGATAAAAATAAAACTTTAGAAGTACAAGGAAGTCTTTGTAAAAGGGCCACAAGTGAACTGATATTATTGCTCCACAAAGAGCCTGATTGCGTACTGCGGGACATGGCATGTGGATATCTTTAATTGAGTTGGAGATATCTTTAATTGAGTTTAAGATGTCCTCGACTCAATGCAAGTTATCTTCAACCCAATTAATAACTGTCAATTTAATTACTGGTATCTCACAATAATAGGGTTTGAAAAGATATCTGAGAATGTTTTATTTTTTACACATCTGAGGACAGATGCGATCTCTCCGAGGAGGAACGATACAGTACATTTAATTAATTCAGTTCAATGGATGTTTTTTGGGCTCCTTTTTGGTTCATCTGAAAGCTGATTTGGGGTGATGATTGACATCGTGTATGTTCTGAACGTTCAGTTCAAGCGTGTTAAAGAAGCGAGACACTAACCAGGGGGAGATAGAGTATCTGATGTTCGCATTTTCACAGTTCCACTCGCTGTTTTCATATCAAAAATTCTGAAGGAGTGTAAAGCCGAATCTGTCTCAGGTATCTGCACAACTTTTCGGTCGTCACGTGTCGCCCGGATCAAACATCTGCTCGACTGTGAGGCTGGCTGATGGTGTTCTAATCTCGGAGAACTCATCAATCTTATTAAAAAAGTGTCTTAAACACGGAGCAGATCCACAACTTTCCTGGCAACATTTTGAAATAATTAATAGAACGTTGAAATATTTGTTGCTCTGATGTTTTACTGACGGGGAAAGAAAAGAAAAAAAGGTAAAACAAAGCGGGTATTTAACTTCTATAAATTCTTATCAGAGCTGCTTTTTGTGAGTTAATCTAGAAACCGCCGTCATCCACGGCGAGACAGTACCAACAAGTTTCCATAAATCGGTTTCATCTGCTCCCGTAGCTCTATCCACACCTCAATTACGGCTGTGTTACCTACTGTACAGGGAGGCAGATTAAACAAACTAGTGAAGGCACGTCTCCGGGGGACATGTGGGCGTCAGTGGAATCACAAGCAGGGTAATCACTTCAGAGAGCCAGAGGGAAACAGAAAGGAGAGAGAGTGAGGGAGAGAGAGAGAGAGAGGGAGCCCGCCGAGCCCGTTAGTGGCTTCGGATCACAGGCCGTCTTCAGTGAGAGGATGAGAATGCCAAACATGTCCCACAGGGGCTCCCACTTTAAATAACGAGCAGGAAACCTCTCGGAAATCCTTTTCCTTTTGGCAGCCTGTGATCGCGACGGCCCTGAGGAGCTATTTGTGCCCCCCCACACACACACACGCACACACAGAACGAGAAAAACAAAAAAACCTTTCGCCCCAGACATGCCACACATGTAGACAGCCCATTCCCACATAGACACATATAGTGTATATGTTCCTACTGCAGGCGCCCAGCACATTCTCATCATCATCATCATCAGTAGCAGCCGGCCTTCGAGCTACAGAAGACTTTTGTTTCTCATCTCTAAGATTAGGACCGTGTTGTTACAAAGGCACAACTGTCATTCACACGAAGCTCAAACTGTTTTATGCACAAATAATTAAGTATCTTTCCTTCCTGTTGTTCACACGACTCACTTACATGGACAAGCACCATCATACATTGGTGATCTTCTCAGTCCCTACACTCCCAGCAGGTCCTTGAGGTCCAGTGACCAAAGCGTACCGGTTGTGCAGCGCACCAGACCTTTGCTGCTGTGGCCTCCAGACTCTGGGACTCTCTCCCCCCGAACCTGAGATCAGCCGGAATCCACTGATTTCATCTTCTTATTCATTTTCTTTTTCCCTTTCCTCACATTTTTCCTCCACCTGACTAAATCCTCCTATAAACCCCTCTGATCTCTATTACGGTAGCGCGACTCGGGTTGCGAATGACCACAGTCACCAATCCTTGTCATGTGTCTATGTACGTATGTCTGATCTCAGAATTGTGTGTGCTGAAACTCTAATTTCCCTCTGGGATTAATAAAGTATCTTTGAATTGAATTGAATTTCAATCACAAATTTTCTTTTTCCATCTTTATGATATTTAGTAAAATATTTTTAATTTAGTCCATTTTTATTTTTAATATTCATTCTTGTGAAGCGCCTGGTGATCTTTATCTTGAGAAGCGCTGTTTAAAAGCGTTTCTTCTTCATGATCAAACTGTAATCAATCAGAAAACAGAAGCTCCTAACAGCACAGAAATCACCACTACCTTGATTTAATGACCAAACTGATTCACACATTTTAACAAAACGTTTTTCTCAGGTCAGAATTACTGATCTATAACTAAACCAGGTGGATTTTTGGGAACACGGATCTCAGACATTGTCAAAAGTAACGTATTTTGTTGGGAACCTTTAAACACATTTAGGGGAGACTTTAGGCCAAGTAGAAAACAACATTTGAGACGTTACTGGTTACAGCTTTTAACAAAACCCAAAACCTGCAGAGATGTCAGACTCAGCAGACAACGGCGTTTCGGAGTAAAGCAGCAGAATCGGCAGCAGACGACTTTTAGATCACTTCTCACATCAGCCTGATGTTGTGAGGCTTTAGTGATCCCGTGTGAAGTGAAGAAGTCGCATTTAACAAACCACAACACGTTTGCTACTGTACAGTCTTTTAAACTGCATTCTGAAAATGACTCCACAAAGTGTAAGGAAGGCGAGAAGCCTTTCAGTGAGCTTTAAAAGCTCCGCTGTAAGATAACAGGGAGAGGGGAAGAGTGTTTTACCATTCTTCACATCAATAATTTCAGACGTCTGCGTTAGAAATAAGCAATCTGAATTTTGAGACACCACTTCAATTGACTCGTTGAATGAAACAGGACAGCATTTGAAGCAACGTTGTATTTACCCCTGTGGAGATGATCCCAAACACTTTCCAACTATTTCAGCTGGGCATAAAGGAATCATGAAAAGCCTCCTCGCTCCCCTGCGTCCCCTTTGCGCTGGGAGTGGAACCAGAGTCTTGATATGAAAACTTCAAATAGTTCCTGTAGAACCAATGCAGCGGTGACGGGGCGGGAGGGGGAGTTCATTTACACTTTACTCACTTTCTTTGCTTTCATTCTTCAAGCCTCAGAAGTGTCTCTTCTCTGTTACATCGAAAGTCAAAAGGAGGACTGAAGAGAAAAATCTTTTCTTCTTTTCTCTCCTTTTTTTTTAAAAGAAGAAGCACATTCCCTGTGAGCTACAGAGGCTTAGAACGGTTAGACAATTTAATTGGATAAAAGGAAAAGATTAAAGAGGCCCTGACTCTGTTCCATAAATAATTGATTTCTAATGTATTTGTAGTGGCAGTAAAACGGCATTGTTTGGGATTGGGGGATGTTGAGTGGCAGAACGCTTCAGATTTCCCTCAGTCGTTGCCTTCTTTGTTTTTCATGCCGCGATATTG